TGCATATTACCGATTATGCCAACAGATAGAGGACACTTTAACGGACACGACAGTATCAACATTAAGTACCTGGGGAGTAGTATAAGGGGGGTAAAATCGGCAAAAAGTAGTGCGCGCGCTACAAAAAATCTATTGCTGGCCGTATTGCGGCAAAATACGTCCGCGATGCATATTACCGATGATGCCAACAGATAGAGGACACTTTAACGGACACGACAGTATCAACATTATGTACCTGGGGAGTAGTATAAGGGGGGTAAAATCGGCAAAAGTAGTGCGCGCGCTACAAAAAATCTATTGCTGGCCGTATTGCGGCAAAATACGTCCGCGATGCATATTACCGATTATGCCAACAGATAGAGGACACTTTAACGGACACGACAGTATCAACATTATGTACCTGGGGAGTAGTATAAGGGGGGTAAAATCGGCAAAAAGTAGTGCGCGCGCTACAAAAAATCTATTGCTGGCCGTATTGCGGCAAAATACGTCAGCGATGCATATTACCGATTATGCCAACAGATAGAGGACACTTTAACGGACACGACAGTATCAACATTAAGTACCTGGGGAGTAGTATAAGGGGGGTAAAATCGGCAAAAAGTAGTGCGCGCGCTACAAAAAATCTATTGCTGGTCGTATTGCGGCAAAATACGTCCGCGATGCATATTACCGATGATGCCAACAGATAGAGGACACTATAACGGACACGACAGTATCAACATTATGTACCTGGGGAGTAGTATTAGGGGGGTAAAATGAGCAATAAGTAGTGTATCGCCCGCGCTCTACTGAAAATCCCATCCATCCTCATACTAGACGAGGCTACCAGGTCAGTTGCAAGGGAAAGACTTGATCATAAAAAATGTTAAAATGTAACATGTAAATATGTAAAATGTAAAAATGTAGACGACGACGACGACGACGACGACGACGACGACGACGACGACGACGACGACGACGACGACGACGACGACGACGACGACGACGACGACGACGACGACGACGACGACGACGACGACGACGACGACGACGACGACGACGACGACGACGACGACGACGACGACGACGACGACGACGACGACGACGACGACGACGACGACGACGACGACGACGACGACGACGACGACGACGACGACGACGACGACGACGACGACGACGACGACGACGACGACGACGACGACGACGACGACGACGACGACGACGACGACGACGACGACGACGACGACGACGACGACGACGACGACGACGACGACGACGACGACGACGACGACGACGACGACGACGACGACGACGACGACGACGACGACGACGACGACGACGACGACGACGACGACGACGACGACGACGACGACGACGACGACGACGACGACGACGACGACGACGACGACGACGACGACGACGACGACGACGACGACGACGACGACGACGACGACGACGACGACGACGACGACGACGACGACGACGACGACGACGACGACGACGACGACGACGACGACGACGACGACGACGACGACGACGACGACGACGACGACGACGACGACGACGACGACGACGACGACGACGACGACGACGACGACGACGACGACGACGACGACGACGACGACGACGACGACGACGACGACGACGACGACGACGACGACGACGACGACGACGACGACGACGACGACGACGACGACGACGACGACGACGACGACGACGACGACGACGACGACGACGACGACGACGACGACGACGACGACGACGACGACGACGACGACGACGACGACGACGACGACGACGACGACGACGACGACGACGACGACGACGACGACGACGACGACGACGACGACGACGACGACGACGACGACGACGACGACGACGACGACGACGACGACGACGACGACGACGACGACGACGACGACGACGACGACGACGACGACGACGACGACGACGACGACGACGACGACGACGACGACGACGACGACGACGACGACGACGACGACGACGACGACGACGACGACGACGACGACGACGACGACGACGACGACGACGACGACGACGACGACGACGACGACGACGACGACGACGACGACGACGACGACGACGACGACGACGACGACGACGACGACGACGACGACGACGACGACGACGACGACGACGACGACGACGACGACGACGACGACGACGACGACGACGACGACGACGACGACGACGACGACGACGACGACGACGACGACGACGACGACGACGACGACGACGACGACGACGACGACGACGACGACGACGACGACGACGACGACGACGACGACGACGACGACGACGACGACGACGACGACGACGACGACGACGACGACGACGACGACGACGACGACGACGACGACGACGACGACGACGACGACGACGACGACGACGACGACGACGACGACGACGACGACGACGACGACGACGACGACGACGACGACGACGACGACGACGACGACGACGACGACGACGACGACGACGACGACGACGACGACGACGACGACGACGACGACGACGACGACGACGACGACGACGACGACGACGACGACGACGACGACGACGACGACGACGACGACGACGACGACTACCATGTAGAACATATAACATGTGGAAATATAAGAAGTTAAAATGTAACATGTTAAAATGTAACGTGTTAAAATGTAACATTTTTAAATGTAACATGCTTAAATGTAACGTGTTAAAATGTAACATATTAAAATGTAACATGTAAAAATGTAACATGTAAAATTGTAACCTTTTAAAATGTAACATGCTTAAAGGTAACTTGTTAAAATGTAACATATTAAAAACGTTATGAGTACTGGTATGAGTAAAAGTTTTTATGTCAGCTTGGTGGTTGAGTGATTATAGTACTGCTGTAATCAGAAGGTAGCTGGTTTGATTCTTGTTACTTTGTTTGTATTACCTGTCACTAGTTTGGTATTACTAATTTAATTAATCTTTGTCACAGGTGTACGAGGCTGCTGGGCTGGCCAATGCTGACAGTTTTATCCGACAGTTCCCTGATGGCTACAGTACCATTCTGGGGGAGAGAGGAGTTACCGTGTCTGGGGGCCAGAAACAGAGGATAGCTATCGCCCGCGCTCTACTGAAAATCCCATCCATCCTCATACTAGACGAGGCTACCAGGTCAGTTGCAAGGGAATGACTCGATCGTAAAACATGTTAAAATGTAACATGTAAAAATGTAACATGTGGAAATATAAGAAGTTAAAATGTAACATGTTAAAATGTAACGTGTTAAAATGTAACATTTTAAAATGTAACATGCTTAAATGTAACGTGTTAAAATGTAACATATTAAAATGTAACATGTAAAAATGTAACATGTAAAATTGTAACCTTTTAAAATGTAACATGCTTAAAGGTAACTTGTTAAAATGTAACATATTAAAAACGTTATGAGTACTGGTATGAGTAAAAGTTTTTATGTCAGCTTGGTGGTTGAGTGATTATAGTACTGCTGTAATCAGAAGGTAGCTGGTTTGATTCTTGTTACTTTGTTTGTATTACCTGTCACTAGTTTGGTATTACTAATTTAATTAATCTTTGTCACAGGTGTACGAGGCTGCTGGGCTGGCCAATGCTGACAGTTTTATCCGACAGTTCCCTGATGGCTACAGTACCATTCTGGGGGAGAGAGGAGTTACCGTGTCTGGGGGCCAGAAACAGAGGATAGCTATCGCCCGCGCTCTACTGAAAATCCCATCCATCCTCATACTAGACGAGGCTACCAGGTCAGTTGCAAGGGAATGACTCGATCGTAAAACATGTTAAAATGTAACATGTAAAAATGTAACATGTGGAAATATAAGAAGTTAAAATGTAACATGTTAAAATGTAACGTGTTAAAATGTAACATTTTAAAATGTAACATGCTTAAATGTAACGTGTTAAAATGTAACATATTAAAATGTAACATGTAAAAATGTAACATGTAAAATTGTAACCTTTTAAAATGTAACATGCTTAAAGGTAACTTGTTAAAATGTAACATATTAAAAACGTTATGAGTACTGGTATGAGTAAAAG